CCCTCCTTCCTGCCATCTTCCTTCCTTCCTTCCTTCCTTCCTCCCATCTTCCTTCCTTCCTCCCCCCTCCTTCCTGCCATCTTCCTTCCTTCCTTCCTTCCTTCCTCCCATCTTCCTTCCTTCCTCCCCCCTCCTTCCTGCCATCTTCCTTCCTTCCTTCCCTCTTACTTCCTCCCATCTTCCTTCCTTCCTTCCTCCCACCTTCCTTCCTTCCTCCCTGCCTCCTTCCTTCCCTCTTCCACCCTCCCTCCCCCTTCCTTCCGCCCATCTTCCTTCCTCCCATACTCCTTCCTTCCTTTCTTCCGCCCATCTTCCTTCCTCCCATACTCCTCCCTTCCTTCCTCCCATACTCCTTCCTTCCTTCCTCCCCCTCCTTCCTTCCTTCCTCCCTGCCTCCTTCCTTCCCTCTTCCACCCTCCTTCCCCCTTCCTTCCTCCCTCCCATCTTCCTTCCTTCCTTCCTTCCTTCCTTCCCCCTCCTTCCTCCCACCTTCCTTCCTTCCTTCCTCCCTGCCTCCTTCCTTCCTTCCTTGCAGATGAACCAGATCCTTAAATTCTGGTTTTTCTGAATGGAGTTCTGCGGCGCGCGGTCAGACGCAGACGTCACGCTCCATCCAGCTGTTGCACCTGCGCGAATCGTTACCTTTAAGATGCTGGAGGGATAAAGCCTCGAACCGGACTCCGCTTCATCCAGAGGTTCGGTCGGACCGGTTCGGACCGAACGGCCGCAGCTCGGTTCTGTTCCGGACTGAGGACGGAGCGCCGGCCCGCTGCAGCCTCTGAATGTCGGAGGAGACCCACGGCACGAGACGGGGCCCACGCAGAGGGAGCACGAGCCCAACCCTTTCCCTTTAAAGAGCCGACAGAGGGGGGGCGGGGGGTGAGATCAAAGAGGAGAGGGAGGAGGGGGGAGAAACCGGAGAGGGAGGGGCCGGCAGGGGGAGACCCGAGGAGGCGAGGAAGAGCAGGAAACACCGAGGCCTGGATCCTGCAGCGGAGGCCTTCTGGAGATCCGGACCGAACCAGACCGGAAGATCTGTGGATCAGAACCGGTTCGGCTGCTCCTCCGAACCCTGCTTACGTCACAGATTCCAGTCCGAAGTTGTTTGTGTTAAAAAGCACGATGGTCACTACTGGGCCATAAGGGACCGCCGAACCGAACCGAACCGAACCGGGTCACCTCAGCTGAAGTTCATCAGTAGAC